TACGGACTAAAATTAGAGAAGATCATGTGCTTTTGTCTAGCAACGACAACAGTAGGGTTTAGGGCTATTACATATGTTCATTCATGGTTGAAGGTAGATGAAGTTGACACTCATAAGCTTGCTAACCGTGATAAATCTGCGTGGCGCTTTGGGAGACCATTTAACACACTAACGTGTTTGGATGGAGTTATCTATGAAAAGCTTACTTATAACAGTACGAATATCGGACATAGAAAGGACTAACCAGTACTAGTTGTCTTGAATAATCATCTTAATCTTAGAAGAAATCAGTTGTTCCGGAGCTCATTTTGTCAACCACATGAGCAACAGCTTAGATGGCCTTACCGAATCCCATTTATTTAAGTTCATTCAAGAACTAGGGTTGTTCAAAAGTATGAATTCAGCAACGAAATGAAGAGGCAGCCAGAAGTGTTTGCTTTTGTATGGTGTCTTCACTAAAAATGAGTCTCTAATTGATAATCACTGTATCCCGGGTCCTTTAGATGAGTGCAATCCTGTCCTCTGAAACTCTAGTGTTTTGAGGCTAGAGTAAAATACTTTGCGGACAAGAGGTGAGGGGATATCGAACCTTTTAGTGATCCAGCTAAAGTGATAATCCACAGAAGATGAATCAGGGAGCTTATCCTTGATTCGATGTAAATTTCTACTCAAAATTCTTATTCAATACCATCTCATATTCTATAATTGATCTGCCCTACATATGGCCAGTAAAAGTTGTAATCAAACTAGGGACACACATAATTACACTTTTCGATTGTTGAATCTGAAAAGACGCAACTGTGTAGATTACATACAATGCGATTAAGATAAGCTAGGGATAATTCCACAAAGGTCCTAAAAGAAAACAGGTACCAATACCAGGTTAAGTTGGCTGGTAGGCTTGTCTTTTGTCCGAAGATATTATTTTATCTCGGCGCCTCTTTCTGACCAAACAATGACAACGATGGTTGTGCGGAGCTCCTAGCAAACGGTATTTTCAACACATTCCAGACGTTTTTTACAAGTCATAACAACAAGGGCCTTTAAGACATCTCAATAGGATTCTGGGAAATAAAATCAAGCGCTGCACTAATACACCATAAACTAAAACATATGAGTAGGGATATGTCCACTAGAAAGGACATTGTCTGCTCCACTACAAAGAGAGAATTGAACTCACCTTTGAAGATACTTCTTGGCCTTATTTTTACCCATTCATTAAAACAGGGTGTAGTTTCATATAAATGGAGTCTGACACAACCCAATCATGAAAAAGGGCCGACCCAACGATCCTTGAGAATGCTAGTGGATAACCTATTTGAATCCCGCAAAAGTTTGAAAACACCTGATTTAAGAAGTTCCACGTGATTATCTAACCGGTACTAAGTTCTTTTCACTCCAGCAGAATGGTTTCCGGAAGGTCACAATTTGTGTAACGGATCTGATGTCTGGGACAAACAGATGGACCACCATGACTTATAGTAAGAGTAAGATGAACGTAATGTACTCACATTTCATAAAAGCTCGTGATATAGTCGATCATGCATGCGTTATCAATGATCTCAAGTTCACAGGAGATTCTGTACGTAAATACTTGTCACTCGCTGATCATATGAGACAACGAGAATCTAAAAACGAACTAAAACTATGACCAGATGATGCCGAAAGGACCCTAATATTGTAAATTTTCGGATGGTTAGGTTCAAGCAGAGAATGATAACGAAGTCGATTTGGATCCAGCACGAATCTGCTTAAATGGTCTCCAAACCTGTTACACAAATCCCCGGGGCATTCTCACCAAGCAATCGAAGGTAAGTATACAGACAGATTTGATCTGATCGGATGTAGTCCTCGTCATTGAAAGTTACTTAACTCAGTCTATTGGTAACAAGGTACTTAACTTCAACTTTTCACACTATTGAGGGCCAACAGAATCCAGAAACATGGAGGAGGAGTAGCCTTATCCAGTGTAAATACTGCCTCCTTTAGAATTATCAGTAACAAATTCCATGGAAATGGAATGTGCGAATTAGCCATTTGCCGCATGAAATCCAACGAACAAAAGCTGCCGATAGGTTTGATTTTCCTCAGTCCAACCTGTGAGGTGGATGAGATCTTGCAAGATGGACTTAACACTTGGTCTTCATGTTGTCGATGTTTAATCCTAAGGTTCGTAGACCATAAAAATCCTTTCGAAGGGAAGCTAGTTGACGTGGTTATTGCACGTGCCCTCGTGTAGCATGTAAAAACAGTAACTATGTACGACCTGGTGTTCAAGTCATCATTACTAGATCCCGTATATACTCATTACGAGAATGATGTCACAAGTCCCTTCAGCATATGTTTTATTTTATCTGTAACCTAAGGTGATTATCAAAGGCATAGAAGAACGTCATGGTATATCCAATCTTGAAAACAGGTATGAATCATGACCTGAGAACTACCAGTCCATATGCTCAAGCAGAGTGCCTGTCGAGACTCTAGAAAATAGTACTAAAAAGGAGTTGTCTAAATATCTATGCCAAAAAAGTTTTTTAGCAGCATGGCCTTAAAACAAGTTGCTCATATCTCATTAACCTATCAAAGTTGATGTGTTCTAAAAGATCAAGAGCCACTTATAGATGTGGCTTTCATTGATTTCAGAAGTGCCTTTGAAAAAGCTCCACACAACAAACCGTCATTTGATTAATTAGGATTGGAGGAAACTTACTCATATTGATCGAAACTTCCTGAGTGTCAACAAAGAGTGCGGGTAAGCTACTAGAATTTTAGACTGCAGAGTTAGATAAATTTTCAAAGTAAATAGTTTTTCAAGTCTTCAACATCGGTGCTGACCCCATTAGTCCTACTGGACACACCTCAGCTGAATGAGCTTAGTCACGCATCCACACCAGAGACCTAGTGTGTACGCTGTACTACCAATCCCTTGCAACTACTAGACTGCTTAGTTCAAACTCTTGCTGATGTACCGATAGCTTTCCGAATGTACCTTTGAGCCCCTTCGTCCCTGAATTTCGATTTTACTGGGATGACATCCTATGATCATAAATGATTAGCACTTAAGAGCGTTTTTAAAGTTGAAATAACTGTGACATCTTTAGGCCGGTAAACTTTGCTTAGAAAGGTGCCTTAGGGTACAGTGCTAGGACTACTCCTACTCCTCTGTATGTAAGTGACTTTCCTAGTCTCCTATCATCATCGATTTCGCCATGATCTAATGATACGGTGAGCGATAAAAAATGAAGATGACGATTTAAACCTTACGAATGACTCGTGGAAATAATTTGAATGGTTTACGACTTGGAATTTGCCGACAAATGCTCCCAAGCCCATTATTGTGCATATTAGTCGTGAAGATGTCACAAGTGTATAAAGTTTGACAGCACCTTAACCATTAACATCGTAACGACCGAACTGCCAGTATTCGGTTTGAACGCAGGACTGACGAACCTAAATGTATTCGAGTAGACCAGACCACCTTCTTCTGTATAGCTTACCAAGTATTTTTGAGACACTCGTGTTAAATTATATCAAAGCACAAATTGTGTACTCAATTTAGACGTTTCTAATTTAGGAAATAGAACAAATTATATAAAAAATACAGTCAAAGGTCTCTCTAACGCAAAGTAGCGCACTAAATAATAATAGAAGCAGTCAATACTAAAGGGTTTGGTACCTGAGAATCAGTAGAAATAATCCCAACAAGATGTGATTAAATATATATCTGCAGGGATTCCAGCAATCCTCCTCAGGAGATAGTCAAAAGGTTATCAGTCACACACTGAACCACGCCGTGACCTTGAGCTTAGTCAAACACAACCTTACTGTTAATAGTCCGGCAACATGCAATAAAAAATTAAGCAAAAAAAGATAAGTTTTTTTAATCAAAATCACGTAATAAAAGTTCAGGCATGGAAGACTGGAGAAAAAAAGATGTGGTTAAACGAGACCTGAACAAAGGTTAAAATACACGACAGGGAGAAGAAACAAATAAATGACAGTATTGTCCAACAAGAAAGCTGCGGAGTGATTTTCATCATCCTCTTTCCGTTACAAACATCTAATGTAATCAAAACATACCACCCCAGTGAAGTCAAAAGCGAAGAGGTTCGGAGGTATTTTCGATAGATTATCAATTTATCGAGAAGTGACTGATCTAAATTGGCTAGCAGTCCCAGGAGAAGTTGAGCACAGCAGAAGCACTTGTTATCTTGTCCGTATGCGTGACCGAGCGCCTTCAGCTGGGTGAGTCTACTTACAGACTTACAGAGCTATTGATATTGGGGATTTATTTATCGCTACAATCATCAAGGTACAGACCTACGAATCAGCGTTAGCCAAGACTCAAAACACACTGTAATCTCCCGCACGGTCTTAGGATCCTCTGGTCATTACTCAGAGCCTTTACTATGAAGTCTTTGACACGGTATACGGTGTTCGTTCATCTTAAACTAGAGTATTACATATATGCATCAGAATCTGGCTAAAAATGATAATAAACTGTCGGAAAAGATTTGGAGAACCTCAATTAAGTTAATTCTGCAATCGTAAAGCCCCCGTATGACGAGAAACTGGCCTAATTAGGCCATTTTCCTTTGTTGTATCAGGAGTGATGTGATCACAGTTTTTAAACTATTTGATGGTAAATTTGCATCTGGTATGCGATGATTTTCCTTGTCTTTGAAAGAATTTTCGAGAACAATTGAGACGTTCGCAAGCCCAGAACGGATTACTTGTTATCTGACTTTCGACTTTCTCATAGTATAATCAAAGAATTGAACTTTTTGCACCAACAATTGGTTGAAGTTTCATCCGTCAACGCATTGGAAATGGCGTTGGATTAACTGAAAGAACGCCATTACCAGGACTGATACATGGAATTCAGCCTCCTGTCTCGTCCAAACTAAAACTGATTTGAATTATTGTATTGCACCAACACAAAGCTTTTGATTGGCTGACTGTCAGTGAGGGAATATTAAACTTCTCCATGTTTGTAGGCCATGTATGGTTTCACGTCTGGACCTCCTGTACAGTCTATTCCTGCGTTTCTGACTAAACTAAAGTTACTGGTGGATGATGAGGAAACAAACGATCTCATATATTGGGATCCGGTAAGATTAGGTTTGGTTAATAACTTCGTTCAGCACGGGACAAGCTTTCACATACGTGATGGAAACCGCTTAGCCAAAGAATTACTACCCCTTTATTTCAAACACAACAATTTATCTAGTTTCATAAGGCAGTTAAATATGTGTATGTGATTATCTTCTCTGAGTTTCTTTGTAGATGGTTTTAGAAAAATAAATCGTGTGGATCCGTCTCTTTCTTTAAAATCTGACACTGAAGACATGGAATTCAGTCATCCTTACTTCATCCGCAATAAAGATATTTTGCTATCCAAAATTCAGAGGCGGACCTCAAACATGTTCTCACCAATACTGGGGTCAAGAAATCAAAGTTTTGGTGTGAAAGTACCTTATGTTCAAACTAATGCGGGTTTAAATGGTTCCATAAGTGTATCACCCCAAAGACCAATAACTGCCACAGACTTCTTAAGATTGGCAGAGACTGTACGGCACTTGCGTTGTAATCAGGAGGCTTTAAGTCAACAAATTAGTGTGCTCAAGTCGGAAAATCAGCTTTTGTATCGTGAACTTTCTGATTTACGGGAACATCACGACAAGCAATCCCAACTTATTCAAACAGTAAGATATCTAATTGTTAACCGAAAAATTTTAGCTCTTCACATTCCTGTCAGCATTTGCAAAGGAAGGGAGGTCTGCAAGCGTGTGCATCGGACAGACAAAACGTAAAGCTCTTCCTTCTATTACTCCATCCGGTTCAAGATTTCAAAACAAAGAACTAAAGTTGGATCTTCGAAAAGGTATGTTTCTTTTGCTGATATATGAGTAAAAAATTCTGGTACTATAACGCCCTTATGCAATTATCTACCCTTCCATTACTTGTATGCTCCAACCTATTTTATCTTCGTCCAGTCTGTTGGTAAATGTAGTATTTCGCTTGTTTATCACTTAAGGTTTTGTGCAAACAATGAGCTTACCAATTTCTTATCACCAGTTAACCATGCCACTGAAATATTGACACTAATCTTGCTGTTCTGTGGAATTCATAATATTTGGAAGGTCACATAGATATCGTTGGAAAATCAGGAAGTTGTTAAGATTTATTGTTGATCTACTTCAAGGTGATTATTTTCTATAGAATGGTTTTGTTTGTTTTCTTGGCCTACATACAATACAGATTTCGTGATATCTATATGCACTGTGATATACACCGTGTTATCTTTCACTAACAACCAAAATTGGGACAGGTGTTTGGTACGTATATGACTTAGCTTTTGACCACTGTCAGAAAGACGCTTACAAATTCTTCAGTGACTTACAAAGTGGTTGATACCCTAAGCATCCGGTTTATTTCGAACAATAAAGTAAACGGGTTTATAGCAGTCCTACCTGCTGTACATTTTAACAAAACATGTATACATGAATTTGGTAGTAGCATCCTAACTACATTAACCTGATAAGGTAAGTAACTTACTCTTTTTGCAGAAAACCCAGGCATCATAATCCATATTGGCTGTTTCAATCATAAGTTCATTAAACGTTTCTTTTAGCACACTGTTTTCAAATATATGAGTCAACCATCTAAAAGTGTTTTATTTATGAAGTCATAAATGTCTTTATTTTGGCTTAAAAAGTCTGATAGTTTAAATGAATCTCAGTCCAGCGTAGTACATGAACCCACACGGTTACTAAGTAAGCATCAGTCACGGTTAACTGAAAGTACTAAGGGTAATTTTAGTTTAGTTACGACCTCATCTACATTAATGCGTCTACTTGGCTTTAACTACTTAAGTGATGCCATACTCTGGTTTTACGTAACTCAATTACCAAGTGCATTTTCGTATACAGGACTTTAAGTATAATTCTACCTGACTTCTAGAGTCTAAATACGTTATTCAGTGGCTCAAACTTAGAACCTATCATCTAAAAGCCGAGTACTTTAACCACTAATCCATCACCCCACGTTCCATGGTCCACATGGGTTGCTAAGCTAGGAATAAAATCCCCATAAGTGATTTTTCCTTCATTTTATTAAACTATATCTTAAAGTAGTATTACATAAAACAGGGGAAGGTTGTTTAGCGATTTGGTAGTCATATGCTGATTATCAACACTGCTATCATTGTCCTGATTAGTGTTATGACAGTTTTAGGCTGTTATAATGCGTCCTTCAATGCAATAAAACCCATCAATTCCTGATAGTAAATTGTGTGATGATTTATTTATGACGCGAACCTCACTAGCAGTTTATTTTCATCGTCTAGGCAGTAGTCACCTGTATCACCACTGATTTATATGTTTCAGCTTATGTACGCCTTGTGTTCCCAGTTCACGGATATAGTAAACACTAACATTCAGTCGAAATGTGTACTTCTCGTGCCAAACAAGAAACAGCATGATTTAAGGATAGTGTTGCAAATGCAAAATCAACTAAGTTCTGATCAATCGCCTACGGTCATCAGGAATGATAGTTTTTCGTCAAAAATTAACTAATGTGTTATCTGAAGTTTTAATGTCAAAAGTTCGTTCATTCTGGTCTTTATTACTGATTATCCAAACCTATAGGAAAGCCGACGGGGAATTCAATTCCTCAAGTGGAATTTCCGCAATTTAACCATGTATGTTCATGACCCATGTGAATTAATATTATAAGTTCAATTAACGTATTATTAATATCTGGTTGTGAATTAATCATTAAAATTGGACATAGAATTTTATTAACCTTGATACAAAAATTGTCCATTACGGAAACAATATCGTGATTTCTAATGATAGGTGTATTATCCTAAACATACCTTTAGGTTTCCAAATTGAAAGAAACTCTGTTCAACCACTTCAACTTGTCCAAACTAGTGATTTGCTCGGACCACATAAGCGCCCTAAATTCGACTTACGAAATTTGTCTGCAAAAATAGGCAATACAAGTTCCGGTGCAAATATTACTGACCAGATTTCAGATATTGGATCAGTTGTTCATATTCTCCCTTCAAATCTTCAGCTTACTCCAGTGAATCTTGGTAATGACGGTAAATATGTATACTCTTTAACTGGTTCATCACAAGAGTGTGACGTAAATAGACAAAGTTTGGTTGATAAAAATCCTGCAAATGTTCAAGATGAACCGAGATACTATCTGTCTAAGGTAGGTTATTCTTCATACCTTATTGTTTGTACATTGTTTGTACACCGACTGCCTCGACGTGCGATGTTCAGTGGTATAGGAGTAGGTTGGAAGAAAGCTAGGGGCGGCCAGACCAAAACATGGCACAAGTCCATGAAGTCACTGACAAGTGGACTGAGTCATGTCGGTAGGTGTAGACTACATGGTTGGGGACCGCGAGATGATAGCAACCGATGGTTAGAGACCTTGAATGACATGGCTCAAAATCGTTTGCAATGGCGCAGGTGCATCCACTCTTTGTGTTCTCCCAAATTTTGATCTCCTGATTCCCCCTTGTCTCTTTTTTTCTCTCCCCAAGTTTATTTCACTGTATTATACTCTTTAAGTAACATCTCCAAACACTAATCTTTCCGATTACTGCTTATACTCTTATTACCTCTACCACTACGGGATTTGAATGAACAACTGCATCTCTGTGCTAATGTGGTGTGGCAACTCGAACTGATGTACGTACGTACGAAGTTCTACGTTGTTACTGACTGACTGACTGTACATCTGTAAGGTAGGTGGTTTAAACGGATAGCTAGCATCTCCAGCTTTACTGCTTGAAGTTGTAAAATGTTTGATCTCAGAATACTACTTCGTTCCCCCTACCGATTACTAAGACGCAGTGATATGTGAAAAGTAAGTAATCAGAACAACAAAAAATGCCCACAAAATATCGTGTGGCCAAGACCGTACAACTATTCGTTTAGTTCTGTAATCATGCTCCTAGGTTACTGAAAATCCTCAACACTAGTTCCTTTTCCTTCCCAAATTCTTTATGAAGGAATATCCCTATTTATTATGGTCAACCTGGACTGCCATTATTTGCATGAGAAACGTTATTTGGATCGGAAACACCAGGCGGTGTTCGACAAAGCTGCCAACTTTCCCGATTTTCTTGTAACTTTGTCACAGGTATTCTTCGAAATATAACTCGTTCTTCGTCTGACTTTTCAGGAATTAATATCTTACAACGATATGTACGCATCGATTTCAAGTATACCTATGGCTGTCCTGTTTTCCTTGAGTAACAATCCAGTCATTCAGATTCCCTTTCTTCTAAATGTAACTTGTTGCTTCAGGACTGGTGTGCGTCAATCCCTAGTTTAATCATAGGAAGTGAAATAAAGGAGCGCGATTACCGCTTGGTATATTTTCAACTTTAGTAGGCTAAAGCTTAGCAAACTCCGATACAGATTCAGAAAACTTGCTTAACTCCCACTGATTTGGGTAACCCGTGGGGTAGGTAAGATGTCCATCTACCAACGAAAGGTTAATTATACTGCTCAACAGTCCTCTCCGCTTTAATTTATGGTTGTAGTCAGTAAAGGTAGAGGATACTCGTAAGTTACTAGTATTTGATCACAGATGTCTTAGAAATATTGCTCGCGTCTGCTGGGATCATCGGGTAAGTAATAGTGAGGTTAGACGCAAGGTATGAGGGAATGATGGTAAGTCAGTTGATGAGGTTGTGAATCATCAACTGAGATGGTTAGGTCAGGTATTGTGCGTACCCAACAACCGATTATCATGACGCATAATGCTGACTAGTGTTGGAGACGGATGGAAGTTAGGGGCAGTCAAACCAAGACGTAGTATCAGTCCGTAAAGTCACTAAATTCTTGTCTAAGTCATGTTGGCAGACGCAGACTACTTGGTTGTGGTCCGTGCGACTATCGTAACCAATGGTTGAAGACTGAGTGACGTGGCTCAGAATCGATCACAATGTCGTAGATGTATGTCCTCTGTCTTTCCTTAAACCGTGAAATAGAAATTGCTTTCTACCTTTCTACCAACTAATTCATTATTCATGTATTACTACTACTGAAGTAACTACTATAAATTCGGTGTTCATCTTGTTGTGCTAATGTTTGCTGATGTAAGAGTAAATTGAGAAAAGATACAGTGGTTGGAAAATAGTAATACGAGATCAACCCGTGAGGTCGTTGGCTGTTGATCTGAGCAGTGTTGAAAGGTGCAAGATTCCTGGTCGGTGTTTAAAAATATTTGCTTACATGGTGCAAAGTATCTCAGTTTTGTTCTCTATCTTCCCGTAAATTCTGAGTTGGTTTCTCAAAGAAATCAGAAATCTGTTTTCACTAATAATTGTTTACCACCTACTAGCTTTTTCATTTCTAACTATAAAATTTCATTTATAACAATTTAATCTTATTTCTATTTCCAAACCAAAGGTGGACGATAATTTCATGCATCCCACAAATGACGAAGAGTTTCCTGTAGGCCTTAATATTGAGGAAGATGGTGTTACAGATGTGAATAATTCTATTTTAGAGTTAAACTGGCCATGTAGTAGATCAGATACGCCTTATTGTCTAACTGATTCTCCTGGCTTGAGTGACGTAATACCTTCAAAGTTAGATGGTGTAACAGATGAAAGTATTTGTGACCTGCTTCTTAACTGTGACTCACAAACCGAACAAGTAGTCGGTAACAATCAGTCTCTCCCAGAGTCTACCATTTCAAAATACACGTAAGTCTTCAACCTATCAACACAGTAACTCATCCGTATGTTTTGTGGTTAACATAGTTCCACCAATTGTAATTCTTTTTATTTTAACCTGTAAGCAACTTAGAACCATGTCCAAATGTGCATCAAAATAAGTTATCTTAAAGTCAAAATAGTTTGTTTCTTGGTGTTAGTATTGAATCCTTATAAGTGTTTTGATGCACTTTGGGGTAAAATTGTTTTCCACTTAACAACACTAAAGAACTGCCCTTGCACATGAAATGTATGGTTGTTATTTGTGTCGTTTTCAGGAAGGAGCCAATAAGAAAACAGCATAAAATTCAGAACAGACCCCGTTGTATCGTACCTTTTTCAGAAAGCGACCCTCAATTTGCTTCCACAACTCTCCAGGACATTGACAGTCTTCCATGGGAGAAGTATCAAGATAGTGGTTTTGACTTTAATCTCGGTGAGTGTTCCATTCCACTTAAAAAGATTACAAGTTTAGATGTTGAACAAAACCAAACAGAAAATTCAAGCGGTTCTTCAAATGGTCTTATAGTCGGTACGTATAAATAGTCTTTTGATGTTAACCTATGGTTGTCAGATTTACTTCTCAAATATTCCTCTAAATCATTTTTTAGTTAGACATTTAATACTAAATATTGAAATCTTAATTCAAAATTGGCAATAAAGCCCACACACAAATCAAGTGAATTGTGTGGCGCCTTTGTACCAATATTTATGTGTTCAAATAAATAAATAAATGAAATGCAGCACATTAGTTGTTTCTCCTGAAAATAAAGAATCATAAAGAAGCTTCCTGTTTCGTAGATATTTGGAATTAATTTCTACACAGTTTATTTTATTGGCTTTCATAACCAACTCATGTTGTTGAACTTACTGGTGTTTAATCATTGCTCAGTTTTGTATGATAATATTTCACGCGAATGATTCGTTCAGTTTTCCAATGAATTTTCAACAGATTGCATGTGATGATATTTCAGCACTTCACCATCAGATTGCTTTTGCAGCATACTTACTTACGCCTGGTAATCCCAATGGGGAATAGGCCACCGACTAGCATTCTCCAACCCATTCTGTCCTGGGCCTTCTTTTCTAGTTCCATCCAATTCTTGTTCATTTTTCTCACGTCTATCTCCATTTCCCGGCGTAATGTGTTTGGTCTTCCTCTTCTTTTTTGACCTTAAGGATTCCATGTGAGGGCTTGTCTTGTGACGCAGTTGGGTGCTTTACCCAATGTATGTCCTATTCACTTCCAGCACTTCTTCCTGATTTCTTCCTCCACTAGGATCTGGTTTGTCCTCTCCCACAGTAAGTTGTTGCTGATGGTGTCTGACCAACGAATCCGAAGTATTTTGCGTAGACAGCTGTTAATAAACGGCTGTATCTTCTACATGATGGCTTTCGTAGTTCTCCAGGTTTCCGCCCCATACAGTAGAGCTATCTTGACATTTGTATTGAAAATTCTGACCTTGGTGTTGGTTGACAGTTGTTTTGAGATCCAGATGTTCTTCAGTTGTAAATATGATGCTCTTGCTTTTCCGATCTGCGCCTTCACATCTGCACCAGATACACCGTGTTCATCAATGATGCTACCCAAATATGTACAGGTTTTTACATCTTCCAAATCTTCTCCGTCAATTGTGATTGGATTGGTGCATGCTGTGTTGTATCGGAGAATCTTGCTTTTCTCTTTGTGTATGTTGAAACCTACTGTTGCTGAGGCTGCTGTTACACTGGTCGTCTTCTCCTGCATTTGTTGTTGTGTGTGCGATAGAAGAGTCAGATCATCTGCGAAGTCTAGATCGTCCAGCTACATCCTATCTATCCACTGTATCCCGTGCTTCCCTTCAGATATTGACATCTTCATGATCCAGTCGGTCACCAGGAGAAAAAGAAAGGGTGAGAGTAAGCAACCTTGCCTGACACCGGTCTTCACCTCGAATGAGTCTGTCAATTGTCGTCCATGCACAATTTTGCAGTTTAGTCCATCATAGGGATTCTGTATGATATTGAATATCTTTTGAGGCACACCGTGGTGTCGAAGAAGCTCCCATAGTATTGTTCTGTCCACGTTATCAAATGGTTCATCCTGTTTAACAATACCCCGTTGAAGACTTTTGCTAGTATTGAGAGATTTCCAGACAGTTTCTTTGTTGTGTCATACAGTTGTCTCATGCATCCTTCTCTTGTAGCCTTTTCTGCCGTCATTGCTAAATCTTCCACATATTTACCTTTGTCAGTTCTAATACTCCTCTTCACTTACTTGTTTACTTCTGTGTATTCAGCTTGTGCCTTGGCATTTTCTGCTCTTCTTCGGCTGGTATTGGTTGCTGCCTTCTTGTTCCAGTGTATCAACAGTTACCCGTTTCTTGTGATGGTGCTTCTTGTGGCCCAGAATATCATGACATCTTGAAGTGATTGCCTCTTTGATCCATTCCAGGTGCTCTCCAGAGTAGTTCCTTCTCCATTGAATAGATCATGAAAGGCCTGGAACGTATTGCTGAGGACTATCTTGAATTCGTTGAGTTTGTCAGTATTCTGAAGAAATGTCGTATTGAACTTTTGTGATATTGTCCGTCCCGTTGTCCAGTACTTCTTGAGTTTCAATTTCATCTTGGCGACCAGCAAGTGATGATCTGATGCAATATCAGCTCCTCTCTTGCTTCTCACGTCTTCCATTGTCCTCCTGAACTTTTTGTTGATGCAGATGTGGTCGATTTGGTTTTGCGCGGTGTGATCCGGTGAAGTCCATGTGATTTTGTGAATGCGCTTATGTGGGAATATAGTTCCGCCTATGACCAGTTTATTGAAGGCACATAGGTTTGCAAATCTCTCACCATTTTCGTTCCTTTCTCCCAGTCAGTGTCGTCCCATGATGTCTTTATATCCGGTGTTGTCCATTCCAACCTTGGCATTTAAATCTCCCATAAGAATGATCAGGTCTTTTGTTGGGCACTTCTCGACGATTGACTGCAGCCTATTGTAGAATTGATCTTTAGCGTCTTCATTGTAGTCGTTTGTAGGCGCATAGCATTGGATGACGTTCATTGAAATGCCCTCTTACTTTGTTTTGAATGAGGTTTTGATGACCCTTGGTCCATGAGATTTCCATCCTATAAGTGCATTTTGTGCTCGTTTGGACAGCATCAATGCAACTCCTTGTGTATGTGGGGCATTTTCTTCATCATGGCCGGAGTATAGCAGAAGCCCTCCTGAAGCTAGTCGTTGTTATCCAACTTGCGTCCAATGTGTTTCACTGATCCCAAGCACCTCTAGCTTGTATCCCTTTTTTCCTCTTTCCAAATTTATTTCACTGAATTATACTCTTTAAATAACATCTCCAAACCCTAATCTTCCCGATCACTGCTTACACTCTTGCTACCTCTACCACAATGGGATTTGAATCGACAACTGCATCTCTGTGTTAAGGTGGTGTGGCAACTCGAACTGATGTATGTACGTACGAAGTTCTACGTTGTTACTGACTGACTGACTGATCTCCTCGTTTCTGCAGCAATTTGGAAGACTCTCCCGGTCTCCCACATTGTACGAGTATTCCATGTACCTAAATATGTGGTTGCTGTGGTTGTCAGACGGGGCAGTGGCCTCGCGACTTCCGAACGAACTCGGCTTTCATCATGAGGAGTCATAGTTCTTCTAAATGAAGACCTTCTGACTCCCAGGGCAGAGTTTAAAAGGTTTGAATAATATTTTCTGGTTATCGTTTTTTAGCGAGCTAGTTTTCTACGGAATAGGGTCACTAACCCCATGCCAACCCTCCTCCTTTATCCGGGTTTGGGACTGGCAATATCCCCCGGAGGGACTCCGAGTGGAGTTCTTTTGCAACATAATCAAGCTTTTTTCTTTTTACTAAAAGCCAACGTTTTATTATTGAAGTATATTGTATTTAATGTGAGCTGTTTACATCCATGTCAGTTAGTTTATTCGCTGAAGTTTTTGTTGTAGGTAGGATTGAAACTTCAAAAATATTTGACCACTTACAACTTGGTTCCATAAACCTGTAATTTGTCTTTGGACATTGAATGATATGCATTTTTTGGGGTTCTTGTAAATCATCAATGTAATATTTTTTTTGTGTGCATAGGCAATGAAATTATTCCGGTGGAACCCGTTAATTTAAACTCATGTGATGATGTTATCCAGTTCTTGAGGTCAGAAATTCCTGACAAGAAGTTAAAATCAGATGAACCATTAAAAACTGTTGCAACGACTGAGGCACAAGCCTCTACTCAAAGTGGTGCTATTGATTTAACAAGCAGTTCATCTGCGCCAACTACCTGGAAAGCAAGACTTTCTGCCAACAATCGGCTCACAATATCCGCCTCTCCCAAAGTTAAACGAAAACAAGTACCGGTTTTGATCCACAGAAAATCAATCACTCCTCTTTCAACTCCTGATTTTTGTGAGGAAGAATTGGAATAATGTACAATCCAGGTTAGTCCTTCAAAATATTTCTTTCGTAGATACAATAACTTTTGATTGCTTTCATTGTATTTATTATATTTACTAAGTTTTTGTGTTTGTACACGTGATATACTAGACAAGTTTACCATCTGGAGCTCTAGTGCTTCCAAGTAACCTTTTCTCCATGAGGAAAATCTTCTATCCACTCAGGAATACAATGCCCCTTGAGATGGTGGAGAAGATTTGTAGCTCAGGTGGATGATTTTGGTGGAGTTTTGTTCTCTGAGCTGGATGGTTTGGTCGTGGAGCTTTCATCGTTCTTCTGAACGACATCATCAGCACAAACTTCAGATAGAAGTGAAGTGTTTGAATTTCTCCATATGTGTCTCAAAGCTTGTTCTGTGCACCTCGACGTTGATTGGTTCTTATTGACCTTAGATTTGTCGTTGTTTATTTCTTTGTTTTGGTTGTGTCTCCCATTGTTTTGATTTTTGTTCTTATGTTTGTGCATGATTTTTCTGATTGGTTGATAAATTGGATTGATTTCAATATGCTTGTTGATTGCTGATTGACCTGAGTGCCAGGCTTCTAAAAATTCTCTGGTGTTTTTGGAGTTTCCTCTGTCTAAGATTTCCACATTTTTCCAATCGAATGAGTGTCCGCAGTTGTCCACGTGTATTGATATAAGTGAAGAGATATCATGCCGTTTGACTGCTAATTGATGTTCATGTAGGCGAAGGTGAAGGGGGCGTCCGCTTTGTCCGATGTAGTGTTTTTCGCAGTTGGCACAATTTATTTTGTAGATGATGTTTGATTTGTTTTCTTTTGTTACTTCATCTTTTGGCTTGCATAAGATTGATTGTAGTGATTTTGTCGGTTTGTGTGCCACACCTATTCCGAAGGTTTTCAGCATTCTCGTCGCGGTTTCTGATATTCCTTGTATATATGGTAGGGTGATCCTTTTGTTGATTTTTGTGCTTGACTTAAGTTCTAATGCTGCGTGCGGTTGGTATTTTTTGATGAAGTTGATGGGGTATCCGTTCTTCTGAAATACATCCTTTAGGTATTTCTCTTCATTTCTTCGTGCTGCCAGTGTGCGTACACAATTTGTTCAAGAGGGCGAGGACGCACTGCAGCACACTGGCAGCACGAAGAAATGAAGAGAAATACCTAAAGGATGTATTTCAGAAGAACGGATACCCCATCAACTTCATCAAAAAATACCAACCGCACGCAGCATTAGAACTTAAGTCAAGCACAAAAATCAACAAAAGGATCACCCTACCATATATACAAGGAATATCAGAAACCGCGACGAGAATGCTGAAAACCTTCGGAATAGGTGTGGCACACAAACCGACAAAATCACTACAATCAATCTTATGCAAGCCAAAAGATGAAGTAACAAAAGAAAACAAATCAAACATCATCTACAAAATAAATTGTGCCAACTGCGAAAAACACTACATCGGACAAAGCGGACGCCCCCTTCACCTTCGCCTACATGAACATCAATTAGCAGTCAAACGGCATGATATCTCTTCACTTATATCAATACACGTGGACAACTGCGGACACTCATTCGATTGGAAAAATGTGGAAATCTTAGACAGAGGAAACTCCAAAAACACCAGAGAATTTTTAGAAGCCTGGCACTCAGGTCAATCAGCAATCAACAAGCATATTGAAATCAATCCAATTTATCAACCAATCAGAAAAATCATGCACAAACATAAGAACAAAAATCAAAACAATGGGAGACACAACCAAAACAAAGAAATAAACAACGACAAATCTAAGGTCAATAAGAACCAATCAACGTCGAGGTGCACAGAACAAGCTTTGAGACACATATGGAGAAATTCAAACACTTCACTTCTATCTGAAGTTTGTGCTGATGATGTCGTTCAGAAGAACGATGAAAGCTCCACGACCAAACCATCCAGCTCTGAGAACAAAACTTCATCAAAATACAATACCCCTCCCCTGAAAGACATCGAATTCTTACAAAACCTACACTGACCAGTACATATGCCCGACGCTATTTTTGTTTCTTGAAATTTATTTACTTCTAAGTATATATCAAGCATTTCAACCCGATTTCATATTTTGAACTAGTAATAATAATAATTCACACATCGTATGACTTTTTCTTATGCAAAACAATTTTGTGTTTTTTACTTTTACAGTGCTCTTCATTTCATTGTAATTTCTACACACAGTAGTTTCCCAAAGAATTTCTTCACGATAAAGATTCGCCAAAGTAATATATCATGAACCGCTTCTACGAAACCATTTTTCCCCACATAAAAGTTTTCTTGTAAGCTCTCATAAACAGCGAGTTTCACGATCATGTTGGATGAATACGAATTTAAAGATCATACGCGATTTTTTTTTCGATGAATAACCAAGTTTTAAACATTTCTCCAGTGTGTTTATTGATTAGTCCTATCTGTTCATGCAGATTTTAATATATTGTGTTTCACAAAGTATAAAGACGGTGTACCAGATTCTATTAAACAATAATTAATATCGACGTTTTTTTCTGCTTCTCATCTATTTTTAGATATAATCATTTAAAGAAATTAAATTATACTTTCCTTACAATAATTCCTTAGTCAGAGCAGACTCAAATTACAGTTCGTATCCTAATTTTTTATTATTCAAAGTTATCCGTCTTCTAGTCGATAGACATCATAAACTGTCCACTTCAATTGGTTGGTAACAGAATTCTTTTAAATTATAAAAATTGCGAAAATATTATATATAATGATAATGTATGGAACTGTCCAGTGGGCGAAGCAAATTCCTAGAAATAAAGATATATTAACATGTTGAGTTTGGATTTGTAACGGTAAAATTAGTTTTGGTGGATTTCATCTATTTATAGCTACAATCTACAGTGAGCGGAACAAAGTGAACGTTTATTTTGGTTACTAACATCAGTTTGTCATTTGAACAACTTAAGGCTTGTAAGTACTAATGATTCGAAGTTTATGCATATGGTTCATCTGGGCTAAATACCTTAATTTCTTCGAAGTACCGGAAACCCTGTTATTTTTTCATCACTTTGTTACTTATTTTTATTGAGGGTCTGTTTTACTTTAGATCTGTGTAATACTTATCAGTTTTAAGTGAATTATTATTAAGCTTTGTTCGCTTAGAATTGAAAATTATCCTGAAGAATGTTTGCATAAAATTATCACTATATATAATATGATATCATCATGTAGCAGTCGGATACTTTCTGGTTCCGTTCAGCTAACATCTACTAGATACCAGTCAGCATGTCGGTTAGATTAGAATATTGTAATGTTCTTGGTGGTCGTGCGCTATTTCGTAGCATCTATTTATCATGAACGCAAGTATGTTTTTCCTGCGGGCTGATTATTTGGGGCGTAAAGAATGTTTAGAAACATACTTGAAGTTGTCACGACTTCCCCCATACGGTAGTTAATTCTGTCTGTGCCATGTGAATAACTAGATTACAAAACTACTGAAACACAATAATGGACTCTAAAATCTTATTTTCATTACTTCTTGACGGTTAAGGTTAAAATGCTTGCAAGAGACTAGTAGTTAGTTTAGAACTACCTTATAAAACCTTCCCAATAAGATAACTCAAACAGATGGAGGCATTTGAGCACTCCTGCCTATTGTAGCTTATTTAGAACAGCTGAGGGTGGTGTTATCAAAGTAGAAAATGTTTCTCAATATTGGAATAAATGATTCAGAAACACTCGGTTAATAATTTAGTAGCAATAACACAGTAAGATTTCACCTTCAAGTTCCCCATTCTTTTCTGGTTTCCGTCAAAAATTGAAATTTACCCTCAATTTTTCTTTCAAATGAAATATTTACTTCTCTGGCTTCACCATTAACTTCACATTTTTCCACTGAATCCCAACCGTTGAACTTAAGAGTTTAACTAAAATATGTAAATACTTTGTCGACATATGTATTCTAATTTTTCCTACATAACTCCCTCTACTAAAAAGTCCCCTACACACGATGTAGAGTAATACTTTGAACGATCCATTGTTTTGGAAACTACTAGTCAAGCGAAATGGAAAAAAAATTATTTGATCAGATTGACATTTTCGACAAAACATTTTTCGTATTAGCTTTACAATTACATTTAACAATATTTATGCAGTCATTGTAGTTCGTTTTATGAAGAATTGTTTATGTTACATGGTAAAGTAAGGGAGGCTAAAAATATTTTTATAAATTTAGAAGTATCGTAAATAAACAATCGGTAGTATCAATAACAATAAAAGTACAAATGACCGTATTTATCAGCAAAGTAAATCACGATTTTTGGAAGCGTGTGTTAGGTAGAACTGACAATTAAAAAAAAGACTTTTCTTATGTTTAAATTTTCCGGTTTGTAATCTTCGATAGATATTACCTCTTCTGTACTTGGTAAACGGAAGCACGTAAATCTGGAAACATCATTGCTTCTCTATGTTATATCGAAAGTTGACTTTTGATGCTGTGTTCGCTAATCTCAACTTTCCATAGATTTGCTGACCCATTTATTTAACAACAATGAACACTCACGTAGCTTTTTACATACGACACATATTTTATAAATACTGTTATATCCCAATGAGAATAATGAATGGTAACCGTTGGTATCTATACTATACGATTTACCATTCTTGAGTTATGCCCAGTTTAGTAATTACCGTCTCCCACACTCACAGCCACTTTTGGCTATATCGTGTACAAATTTTATTTTCTATATTATGACACGATGTGGTCTGTTTGGTTGGTTTATAAATCCAGTCTGTTTGAAATAAATGATTCATATCGCGAAGGCTGAGGTTGATATTATGAACTCAATAGACAGGGCTAGGCGGGAAGCAGGACCGGTAAAGACTCCAGACTGCTCGTACGGGTTTTATGCGTCGTTGAACCGGTCGATAAAACACTTTTCTCTAACTGGCGGTATCACAACGTTATACATTAATAAGGCACAAACCCACAAGTTCTAACAAATACATCTAGTAGTGGTTAGATTCTGTCACCTTTCTTTTGTCTCGATTGATAGCAAGTGATAAAATTATGTCTGAGTTCAAATGAAACGGCAACTTTTATTTTTATATCAACAGTTAAGATGTTTATTTCAAAGTAATTTTCTCAATTCACAAACAAATATTTTCAACTAGTTACCTCAACAGTTGCATATCAGTTTCATCATATTTTCATTTCATTACTGATATGGGCAAATTTGAAAAAGACAAGTCTTCCTCATCTAGACCCAGATATGTTCATTCTTGTGTCAGCTGTTGTTTGCTTTCCATTTTGCTAGAAAAAGAAAGCAATTCATTTCTAATCAGTCCTGCTTTTACATATTCATTCATCCAAGGCTTTGAGTCGATTATTTGAATATGGGGAATGGTTTTCAGTCTGCCATACTACTACTACTGTTTCTCCAAACTTTTGTTAAATGAATATCTGATTTCTTATCCCTCTCTCTAACTTCAACATAAATTACGAACATAGGATGTGACTGATTTAGTACATAATCAGTCTCAAGCTCAGACTGATGTTAACATAGCCATTGGGTCCTCGGTAATTTTACTAACGATATCTGGATAGAAGTGGTGATTATGTATTTCCTCCAGTTAGCCAGATTTTCCGGTTTAAGTACTCAGTAAGTTCATCGAACTGTATAGGTTAATGGCATATTCCTCGTAATTTAATAGTAATTTGAGAACATTATCTAAGAATATACCGATTTTTTCGAATTATGTTTTGGAACTATATTTTAATCTGTAGTTTTACGTCAATATTGAAAATCCTTGGGTTGCTGTCTAACCACGATATGGGGTTCCTACACGATAATCCTTGGTTTTCAGTTGTTTAACCAGAGTCATTCCATCATGTAAAACCATGGGCTGAACGATCTTCACAAAATTCCTCTGTTAATAGCTTTAGTATTGCTATTCAATCACCATCCATCTCTTCGAAATAACTACTATCGTTCACCAAAGATTGTTACAAATGTATAATTTCTAATTTTGACGTAATACTTGTTACAAGCATGATTCAGATGGAAATTTACATTTAGAATCAACTATCATAATTACAGCATGATATACCTTTGTAGTAAAGTAGCTATCTTCACAAAAGTTGTTAGAACTTGTCATTTCTGAAGGCAATTTTGACGAGAAAGTAATAATTTCAGTATCTTTTTCTCAGTGATATTAGAATTTTTTAACTGACATCTCAGATTTACACGTGCTATTAATAAGGATTTTATGAAATTACACAACTAATTTGTCTCAAGCCCGTTACAATAAGCTATAGTTACGCCAATAAATTAGTAGATTTCAACCAGTAAGATTGGCTTCGACATGAAAATCTACATTCTTTTATCATTAGCATTCAGAACCATAAAACACTAGTTCTGACTTAATACTGTCAAACCTATCCACCCTACTTTTCTATGGTTCGGAAATAATTATAGTAAGGTTGTCATCAAAGACAAAATCATAGCTTCGTTTGCGAAACTATTAATCAACAACATATGTTGTTTCTTTCTTATACTTTCAACTGAAAAATTCTTAAATTTATCAACCTGGTTAATAACATTACTTCATTCGGCAGCCAAGCTCTTTCATTAAGGTAAAATGTGTTTATACGAAAATGAATAAACACTGCACTATTAAGCTTTTAGTCGGAAACTCAACACAATTCCAAGTTTGTGAATGATCTTTTCCTGTCTTCAGATCCTGGTACATTTGTAACTACTAGAGTATGTTTTAAACAGTTCTGGAGATTTCTATATCATCACCTACACACATTGTTCATATCGAACATACGAAATCAATCGTGGAATCCGTTCGATCTGAAAGAATTGCTACATAAATCTATACTACTGATAAGCATGGAGTAGTGTCATGTAATAGCTTAAATTATACGGGATCATACGCACAGAAGCATGAGGTTGATTATGACGAATGAAGCGTTTGTGTGTTGTTTGATTTGCTCTATCTTAATGGACAGTCGTCTGTTTGATAAAAAGGAACGCTAAATGGATAACGGTTAGGGACATCATTGCACATTTTACTTCTTTATAATAATTATTTAAAACAATTAGTCCGTTTGGTAATTTTCGATAATACAATGAGAAAACAAAGTTAATCAGAATTGTGTGATATATTTGCGCAATACATTCCGAACAATCTGATCACACATATACTTGTTAAGACATTTTTATATGAAAATTAAAAGGTCAACTAGACAGGTTAAAGATAAGCCGTAAC